TTTAAAAAAATAAATAAAAATAAAAATTTAAAAATAAATAAATAAATGGAACCACAAAAGACCCCAAGTAGCCAAAGCAATTTTGACCTAGTTGTCACACTTCCAGACTTCAAAGTATATTTTGAGACCATAGTAATCAAACATCATGGTATTGAAGTAAAAACACACAAACCAATGAATAGAATTGAAAGCCCCGAAATAAACCCACATTTGAAAGGATAGTTAATCTGTAAGAAAGAAATCAAGAGTATACAATGGAGAAAAGAAAATCTCTTCAACACATGGTGTTGGAAAAACTGGACAGCCAAATGCAGAAAAATGAAATGAGACCACTTTCATGTCATACATTATAATAAAATGGATTAAAGACTCAGGTATAAAACCAGAACCCAGTAAATACATAGAAGAAAGCATAGGCAAAATACTCCACAACATTGACTTAAGGAATGTCTTTGGGGACTCAGTACTAACAACAAGGAAAATAAAAAACACTGGGACTGCATCAAACTAAAAGGCTACTACACAGTGAAAGAAAACTATCAGTAAAACAAAAAGATACCCTGCTGAATGGCAGAAAATTTTTGCACACCATACATTCAGTAAGGGGCTAATAGCCACAATCTACATAGGACACCTACAACTCCATAAAAAGAGGACATAGAACCAAACAAAAAATGGGTAGAGGTGCTAAATAGACACTTCTCCAAAGAAGATATATAAATGGCCTACAGTTACATGAAAAAATATTAACATTGGGCCTCCCCTGGTGGTGCAGCAGTTGAGCGGTTGAGCCGGTTCCATCCCCAGCTGCTGGCTAGGGTCCCACATGGTGCGCAGACCTCTCCTGCTGCGCCCGCTGCTCCCCTCAGCAGTGTATTTTGTCAGTCTGTTCTGTTCCCTGCTCTGGTGAATTCTCTCACCCTCTCGTGCTTCCGAATGTACCCATTTCGTGTATAAATAAAAATAAATAAATAAATCTTAAAAAAAATGTTAACATCATTTATCATCAGGGAAATGCAAATCAAAACCACAATGAAGCACCACCTCACAACTGTGCGAATGACTCATATTGAAACAAGAACAAACAACAAAAGTTTCTGAGTGTGTGGAGAAAACAAAAGCCCTTGTACACTGCTGGGAATGCATACTGGCTCCATCCTCTGTGGAGAACCATATAGAGTTTTCTCAAAATATTAAAAATAAGTGTGGCATACGATCCAGTATTTCTACTCCTTGCCATTTATCCAAAGAATGAAAAAAAGAAACCTAATTCAAAGGGATTTGTGCACCTCTGTGTTCATTGTAGCAGTAATTTACAATAGCCAAGTATGGAAATAACTTAAGTGCCAAAGGACAGATCACTGGATTCAGAACATGTTATACTTATACTTGATAGAATATTATTCAGCTATTTAAAAAAATGACATCCTGCCATTTGTGACAACATGGATGGACTTGGTGGGGACTATGTTAAGAGAAATAAGCCAGAGAGAAAAAAGACAAATACCAAATGATTTCAATCATATGTGAAATATAGAGAAACAGAACTAAACCAAAACAAGGTCTAGAAATGGCTACAGAATTGAGGTGACTAGAAGGGGTGGGGATTTGAGCTAAATAGTGATAAGGCCTAATGATAAAAGGATTATGGGTGCTCTAGGGTAAGTGGGGTTAGTGATATATGTTCTGAGAAGCTATGAGCATATTCCTCTGAACCATATATAATAATGATGTAAAC